ATTCTTATTTTCTGTTGCACTAAAAATACTATATTAATAAGAAAATAGTTAATGGAAAAAACAATAAGAATACCATATAAAATATAAGAATAATAAAATTATTAATAATTATTAAGACTTGTCTATTCTAAAGGGATGAGCAACTGTTACTTTGTACTCAGATTCCCAAGAAAATTTTAGCCTCAGTGCCTCCTAGTATGGGGAGAGAGTAAAGCATCTTTGACCTTTTTCGGGAGCGGTTTTTCCACCAGAACCAGTGGCCTCTTTCAGATATCCCCTTTGTTTGTTTGGAACTAATACTCTGAATTGCAAGCTGATTAAATCCTTTGCCCATCAATTAACACTATTGATTTGAACTTCATGCCCCCTCCCCAATATGATGCTTTTTTTTCTCTGTGATGATGTGGTCCCTATTCAACTTCAAGTTGTTGTTGTTGATTTGAATCAAAAACCACAATGAAGAATTTATTACTTAACTGTATCTTTGGATCTTCAACAAGGCATCAATGAATTCACACAAAACCCTCTTTCTCTCTTGGTGCTTCACTACTGTTTTCGTTCCAAGAAACAGCACACAGTATATACATTTTAATAATGGAGTATGAGGCTTTCACCAAAATTTCTAGTCTGCCTCTTCACCAAGATGCTCAAAGTAAAATGCATGGTTATTTCTTCAATGTTACTTCTCTTCAACCTGTTAGAGAACTAGACAACAAAGGTTAGTGACTGATTTCATCCTGAGATTCAAGGCTGCAGATACTTTAATCTAAGCCTCATCAGTCATAGTCCAGTTCTATTTTGCTCTGCACTTTATTAAAACCCAGGAAGTGTACATAGAAGCATCTATAGTTAAATGTGTACATAGGAAGATCATTTGTTGGACCACAGATTAAAAAAAAATTCTCGGGAAGCACAGTTGTGCAGGGAAAAATATGCTGTATTATATCTTGACCCCTCTCTTTCCTTTGGCAATAAATGTGAAGTAAATATTTATATAATAATTTTCCAGGTCTTTATTGTAGAGGAAAAGAATGAGTTAAAGAGTAATTATTTCTTATTCAAGCAATGTTAAATGATGTATAAAGTATCACCTAATTTTTTTTAATGTACTGCTTTTATTTTTCCAATTGGACAAAAATGCAAACTAAATAGTATACACATGTTTTAAATGGTCAAAATTCTAATGCTAATTGTACTTTAATTTGTTTTATTCTTTGCTGTTAAATATTTTTAAACATGTTGACTAACAAGCTGTTAGTTGCATTTTAAAAGCTACATGCCATAATTTTGTAATAAATCTCTTGAATTTTGTTTTTAACTGTGAAACAACTTGTACCTTTGCTCTGATAATGCAGTTATATGTTGACATTGTTAAAAATAGAATAAATACTATTATTACATTCACATTTTATAATTTATTATGACTTCATGACTGCAGAACATCTTATAATGAAATGAGTGCAGACTGTATTCTACCAATTAGCGCATTGTAAAGTTCAATTTCATTAGTTTTGACTTAAGAAATGTATGCAATCTGTTGACTTAATATTTGTTTCAGAAAGTATATAAAATTTGAAATGAAGCTGAGATTTCGGCAGCATTGTTGATAACAATTGGTTGCATTATGCCCTGTTATTTTATGGGGGGTATTATGTGGGAAGATCTAGCAGCTTTCAGAAGCACTACACAACAGATAGTTGGATATCGGGTCTTGTTGTTGAAGTTAGGTTCTAAGGAACACTTGGGATTGCTGAACCTGTTACCTATGATTTCTCTGTGCTGCCTGATTTCGCTGAAGGATTGACAGTGGAATCTTATAGATTTATGACTTTGAAAGGCTTCATCCCGCCTCTCTATACAGTAGAGAACAAAACAGCTCAAGAGTTTTGTGAAGTAGCAATCATGGACCTGACCCAGATCATCAAGGGCCAACACACACCAGGTTTGGGTTTTATCACATCATTATTCTAGGGTAGAAAGCATTACTCTCAAATAATGTTTGTACACTTATTTCAAGGCAGTTTGCCTTGAAATGAGTATACAATAAGGATGTTAGATCAGATTACTCTTTTAGGACCTCTCCCTGTTCAATGATCCTGGAGGTTGTCTGGTTTACTGAAGAGCTCTGAGAAATGAAACAGCAAAAGAAAGAGTGCTATTGGAGGAAGATAAAAAATTAGTCTGACCAATTACATTAAAGAGCCCCTTTAAAGACTATTTGTTGTTTTAACCATTCAGTTGTGTCTGACTCTTGGTGACTTTATAAGGCAAGTGTTCTTCATGCTACCCCATCAAGGACAGATTCCTTCAATTGTTGGATGTTCATTTTTGTGTTAGAGACTATCTTATTACAATAAGAGCAGCAAAATTTATTTTTCTGTTCTTCTTACATTTGTGGCTTGCTGACTGTTTAGGCTGGTTTGATCCTTTTTTGGAAGAAAAGCATCACAAATTATCTGCAAGGCTGTGGTAAGGATTATTCTAAGCATCTGATGATAAAAATGACTCGGATCTGTTCTGGACTAACTTCCAGCTGAGCAAGTTCTATTGAAGGCATAGTCTTTCCCTCTTATTTTGGAGGAGTTTTAAACTCCTCCAAATCTTGAAGAACATGTTCTGTATTACTAGGATAATACAGGTATTCATCAACTTACAACCACAGTTGTAAATTTCTAGTCACTAAGCAATCAGGGCTGTGAATCTAGCCATCTATTTGTTATATCAATGCTCCTGCTGGCTGATTAAAGGCTCCAAGAAACAATATGGAGTTGGCTCCAAGTGATGATAAATTCCTCCTCGAGTGAGAGGGTGATAATGCTGGGCTTGAAAGAAATGGTACTATGAGCCCTTCTCAAGAAGCCATCATTGGACAAAGTAGCGTAAGATAATTTCAAGTCATCCCAAACCTTTTTGGGGGAAGGTGATTGAGAAGGTGAGTCATGGAGGAAGCAAATTATTTAGATCATTTTCAGTTGAGTTTCATGACTTTGTTCAGTACAAAGAATTTGTTGTGTTTCTGGATGACTCTCTGGCAGAGCTGAGATGGGGATGGTGAATAATAATAATAATTGTGGCGGAGCTGAGATGGGGATGCTGAATAATAATAATAATAGTTGTTATTATACACAGGAATTGAAATCACAGCTGCCAGTTTTTTAGCTAACATTGACCTTCTTATGCATTGAGTTCTTCCCAAGAACCTACAATGTTGCAAAATGTATTGGTATAGTTAGTATATGTGCAGATCCAACGAGTATGGCCTTTTGTAATTGATAGATGGAAATTTTGTCAATGCGCAGAGTGAAGTGCTGTCCATGATTTTTTGATATGACACCTAGTGTGCTGATGACAACTGGGACTGTTATAGCTGGTGTTTACATATAACTCTTTGACTTATGACTGGTGACTTAGCAACTGTTCAAAGTTATGATGGATCTTCTCAGAGCTATTTATGACTCATTTTCAAGAGTGACTGGCCCCAAATCATCTAACTGGTTTCCATATGCAAGGGAGGCATAGAACTCATAGTTTCCTGGTTTCTAGGCCAGCATCTTAACCACAACATCAAACACTCTATCCAGGTTCTACCCTGAATCTTTCCTGGTTCTCCTTCATCACTCAACAGCTTTTATTACAATTGATCATAGTAACCTTATGGACTGAATGTAGGGACATGAATGGGGGACATGACATGCAGTGGTTTGCCCCTTTCTCCATGGTTGTTTTCAGTCAGTATTGATGAGCAGGTAGAGAGGCCAGTGATCTTCCCTTTCCAATTTCATGCCCACAGGAAAAACTGCTGGATAAGGCTTGGTTATCAATGGCATGGTATGTAGGTGTTTGGTTATTAAACACATCAGCCAAGGAACTCATTTTGTGAAAATGATTTTAAAATAGTGTCAAAATTTCAAATGTATCTACTGGCCTAGTAAATTTGTAGATGCTTGTTCTAAAAAGTGGGATAATTCCTAAAAAAAATGAAAATAGGCAACATGGACATCTAAAGCTAGGGGACAAATTTTGTCTTCATCCTCAGATTTCCCATTAGCTGGTATGTGACGAAGCAACCTAAAACAGGCTTTGTCCTTCTCTATACTGGAAATTTATCAAGCAATTGAATGAGATTCAGATATGAAGATGATTCTTATTTGAATCCATGTCCACAAGTGAAAATTGCTATGACTGACTCTGCAATTAAATTAGACTGAGAATTAGCTTGGCAATATATCTGGATTTAGGTTGCTCTAATTGTGTATTAAAATATTTATACTTTTCGCAAGAGACTGTTGATGCTTTCTTAATGCATGCATAGTTTTCCGGGAGTCATAATAAATAGTAGAACATAAAAGCCATGTGCTTTGTCATGCCTCATTCGTAATTGCTTGATAACTCAAACTAACATTTCACATTTTAAATTAATATTTGCTTCCCAGTACCATTCCATTTCTGAAACCAGCAGGATGTTCTTTTTCTTTCTCAAATTTAAAAATAATTTAGCAGTCTATCTCTCTTGTGGTAGATTAAGATGCATTGGAATTGGAAACAACTAGCAATGCACACTAATACATTAGTTGCTCCAGACTTATATTCTGTATATTAAAAGAAAAAAAGATCTATTTATAAATAATTAATAATAGAAATGTGTATAAGTTTACAACTTGTATTAACAATTTATTAATCAGCTATGGTAATTTCCTGTTAGTTGTGACTCAAGCAGGAATTATTTTTTAATAATTTATCCAAAGCAGATTCTTCCAGGATATGTCATAAGACAGTAAATGCAATGCTTTTTATTTTGTAAGAAGCAAACATTTATTTAGTTTTCATGCATTATAAAGTAGAATAATCTGGATACCATCCTGCTCCGGTTGTCAACATATTTTAAAGATAGGAATATAGTGGTTATAAAATTTGTCAAGCACATGACTTATATTGTAATAACTGTTCTGCTACCCAAATTTAATATGGTGGATTTTTTTATCTTTCCCTTCTTTTTGCAGGAATCTACCCAGGAGAGTGTCATTACACGAGATATTCATCGTACATTTCCAGCACATGAATATTTTAAAGATACTGGAGGAGATGGACAGGATTCTCTATATAAGATTTGTAAGGTATAGCTGCTCAAATGTCTTGGAGTTTTGTTAAGAAGTTAAACAGGTTTGTGCATGCATTTTCCTAATTTATGTGACAAACAGCATTACAATAGTATGACATCAGAGTAGATTGGGTTTCCCACCCAATCTTAACTGAAAACAACCAGATGTTAGGATCTTGCAGTTTAGATTAGATGGAGAGGCCCTGGTAGAGAATGCAAGGAAATAATAAGGTTTGGGTTGCATCAGGATCTATATACTACTAAAACTCATGTTTCTATAACCTTTAACTGAGCAAAACAGTGCATCATAGGGTAATACTTTTTGACCCAAGGTACCTCAAATGGGCTAACTTACAGAATGTGTCCAAAATCTAAGACATAACTCCCAAAGGAATGAAATATGTGGAAGTTACTGTTTCAGTATTTCCAGGCTGATGCTGCTTCAGTGCTGCTGAGCTGCTGGTGCTGCTGTCATGTAATCAATGTCTTGTGATAGCTTTCCAGCCTCTCCCACAGTCACTTTCTCCCTCCCCCACCTGGTAGAAGTCACTTACTTGCCAGGAAGAGCAAGGTGAAGGAAGAAAGGGAGGGAGAAATAGGAAGGAAAGAAGGAAAAGGGAGGGAGGGAGGAACACAGTTCCTCACACTATCCCTCTGTGCACCTTCCCCTATCCATGTGGCATCTTTCTGAACCCCCATGCACCCTTTTTGATTTACATAACACCTGTTATACCCCCTAGACACCTTTCTTGCCCTACCCTCCTGTGCACAATCCATGACCTGAATACTCACTCTGACCCATGCGGTACCTCTAGTATACCCATGTGACACCAACATCCTTCTGAACCCACCTCACACCTCCTGCAGCTGATCAATCCCATGTAGAAAGTATATCCTTCCTGACCCATGCTGCTCACTTCCCCACTTCCTGATCCCAACCCACGTAGCACTTCTTCTGTACCCCTACATCTCTTCCTGACCTGAACTCTTGCGCACTCCCTCTTTCCTTCTTCCACCTGGCTGCAGCCATGTACCGGCTGGTTGATCTTGGATTTGCAACTTCCTACTTGGCTTTTCCACTTAACTTTCTTCCTGCAAGTTTTCCACAAGGAAAGCAAATTGAAAAGCCAGTGGAAATTCAAGGGAGGGAGGTAAGGCAGGAGGGTGGGAAGGCAAGAACAGTGAGGAAGGGAATGGGAGAGAGGGAAGGAAGGAAGGAAGAGTAGAAGGGAGGAAGAAAGGAACAGGAAAGGGGGAAGTAATGAAGGAAGGAGGAAGGAACCGTGGAAGGAACACTCTCTCTTCCGCCTGGCAGCAGCTACTTTATCTGCTGGCTGTCCTTCAACTTGCAATTTCCTACAGGCTTCTCCGCTTAACTTTCTTCCTGAAAGTTTCCCACAAGGAAAATAAATGGGGGCATTGGCAGGAATTCAAGAGAGGGAGGGGGGGGAAGTAGTTAATGAGATTTCTGATGTCCCCTGCCAGCTTCCCACAAGGATATTCAATGGGGAAACCAGGAGGAAGTCAGAAGTTTCTCTCACTCCCACTGCTTTTTCGTTTACTTGTGGCAATTCTGATTCTTTGTTTAAGTAAGGAAATATCTCTGAAATGATCACCCAACAGAGGACCCACCCACTAAATCAATAGGTATTCTGGCCTAGCAGTTCTCATCTCTTTTAATTTTGGGACTCTTACATTCCTAAAAACCACTAAAGATCCCAAAGATCTTTTTTTAAAATGTAGATTATATCTATTGATATTGTATTTACTATAATAGAAATGAAAATTGATACGATTTTAAAATATTTATTCATTTAAAAATAATAACAATAAACTCATTACATGTTAATGTAAACAATTTTTTTAATGGAAAATAATTTTAGTTTCCAAAACAAACATACATTTATTAAGAGCACTGGGACTGTTTTATACAGGACCCCTAAAGATCCACGGATCAAACTGGTGCTGTACCTAAGAGGTGAGGGCCAGATGCTAGAACAACCCTGGAGTATTAGTGAGGACAGAAAGGAGTCCATTTTTTTGGTGCAGGGCCAAATGTCAGTTTGGAAAGGGAATTGAACATTATCTTCCTTAATTAATACTTCTAAGTGCCCTGAACAGAGGTGGTATTCAGCTGGTTCGGACCAGTTCTGGCGACCGGTAGCGGACATTTTGACTGGTTCAGAGAACTGGCAAATACCACCTCTGGCTGGCCCCTCCCCCTCCCCTTCCAGGAGTCCTCCCCCCAGTGTCCTATTTTGGCTCCCAGGTAACTGCAGGGAGGCTTACTAAGGCCAAAATAGGGTGCAGGGGGGCCTTCAAGGGAGAAGTAAGCCTTCAAGGGAGGGAGAGAGAGAGAGGAAGGAAGGAAGGAAGGAGAGGAAAGAAAGGAGAGGAAAGAAAAGAAAAAAGAAAAGGAGGGGGAAGGGGAGGGAAAGGAGAAATAGGAAAGGGAAAGTGAATGGATGGATGGATGGATGGACGGATAGAGGGAGGGAGGGAGAGAAAAAGGAGAGGAAGGAAGGACCACAAACCCTGGCACTAGATACAGCTTTAGAGGATGCTTTGAAACAGCACAGCAATCCAGGGCTGGAAGGGACGTCGGAGGTCATCTAGTCATCTAGTCCAACCCCTGCTCCAGCAGGAGATCTTATATCATCTTGGTTATTTTGGTGCCTCTAACACAGAGGAGGAATTCCCAGAAATGCCCAGGCATTGCTAACCTCTCCCCCCTAGTAAAAAAAACCTAGAGCAAAAATTTCATGCAGTATTAAAAAGAAGAAGAGAAAAGGGGGCTGCTGTGTATGGACTGATAAATTGGCAAAATGGACTGCTAAATTAGCTATGCTTATTTAGCCACATAACAACCAGGCTATACCCACCCAGTCACATGACCACATAGCCACGCCCACCAAGCCACTCCCACAGAATCAGTAGTATTGTCTTTGAAAATTAATAAAATTTGTTTAATTAAAAAAAATGCTTATTAATTTTTTTTTTACTGGCCCTAAACCTTTCCAGGCACTTAGAAGGGGCTAACAAATGGGATCTTCCTTTTTGAAAGCATAGTGGGGATCTGCAATGTTTCCATCATGTAAAATTATTGATTTTCTGTGTTGTACTACATTATGAAATAATATTGGTGACCTGGTTTCTTGCTTGCATGTATAGTACAGATACCTTTCCCCCAGGAAACCAAAATAATTGGCAGAAAGTAATGATTTTCAGCTGCTTGGACTCCTGTGGCTGAAACAGTTTAATGTGAGGCCTGTTGTTCACACTCACAAGTTAGCAATTTCTGTTAATCAGAAACAATTTATTTTAGTTATATTGAGAAACCTCAATATGTTTCAGTATACTGTATGTGTGGCAGTTTGTTAATAATTTATGAAAAAGATAAAAGTGAAATATAGTCCTAACCTATTTGAGAACACTTTTTTGGGGGGGAAAAAAGACAAATTATTTTTTGAATATTAGTCATATTCTGCTTTCCATTTTGCCTTTTAACCTAACCCTCCTCACCCCAGAAGTCCAATTCAACCTGGCCACAACATAACTGGTTACTGCACCCAGTAGTGGGATTCAAATACTGTATTTTTTGGAGTATGAGACACTCCGGAGTATAAGACGCACCTAGCTTTTGGGGAGGAAAAGAAGCAAAAAAAAAAAAATCTGCCTCTGTCTACCAGCATCCTTCCAATATTTATCTGGCCAATTTGCTGTGGCCCGTTTGCCGCGGCCCATTTGCCGTGGCCCCTTTGCTGCAGCCCGTTTGCCATCACCGCAGCCTGTTTGCCGCCGCCCATTCGCCACTGCTGCCCATTTGCCACTGCTCGTTTGTTGCTGTCACCTGTTCTGGAACAGCTGATCGGTGCTGACCTCCCCCACCGCAATATTCACTGTATAAGATGCACGGACATTTCCATCCACTTTTTTGGGGTGGGAAATATGGTAATTTAACAACTGGTTCTTCCTAGTGAGTGGTTGGGTGGGTGTGGCTTGGGGTCATGTGACTGAGTGGACACGGTCAACTCGACGTCACTCACAAGGTGGGGCTGCCACGCAGGTGGGCTGATGCTGCAGAAACAGGGCAATTTCCTACATACCATTCGGAGCCCTTTCCCCTCACTTCTGACAAAATAAAATCCCATCTAAAGATCACGGCTGCCTGCCAAGCCTGCCTGGCACATGCTGGCAAAAGGAGGCTAGGGGAAGAAAAAGAGAAGGGCTGATGGAAACGCCCTGTTTTCTTTTGGGCTGTCTGAGCCACGCTGGATCAGGATAGAGAGTTGGGAAAAATAAAAAAGCCCACTCGGTCCGTACTCACCAGCACGATGGCAAATCTCTCTTCCAGCTCACCAGTTCGGGCATTGGGAGCTTGAGGGGTGGGATTGCGCCTGAAGTCCATCTTCTGCTCTTCCAAGCCCGGCTCTGCCTGCAGCCAACCATCAGCCAATTTTCTTCCAGAGTTCGTGCAGGGAATCCTGTGAGCGGCAGCATATTGCATGCTTTTCACTCCAAGCAGCCTGGGCTGGAAAACGCATGGCTGGGGCAGAGTGGTCCTCCTTAACAAACTCCCAACTGTTGCTGCTGCTTGTTAAGGCATGCAATATGCTGCTGCTAAGCTCCTGGGTTTCTCGCACAAGTGCTGGAAGTCTGGTACGCCTTCCGTGTCCAATCAGCCTGCGCTCCCCTCTCGCTCCAGGCATTGAATCACCCAACACCCCACATGCACAACACACCCCCCCCCCAAATTTTTTAAGACTTAGAGCTATGGGGAGGCAAGACACACTGATCTCTGTCTTCCTCTAGTACCGGTCTTGGAAAAGTGAACTCTCACAATCGGACTCAAATTCTTCCACACTTGTGTGAGGAACCCAGGAGCTTAGTGGTAGCATATTGCATGCCTTAACAAGCCCACTGATAGCCAGAGCCAGGCTTGAAGCAGCAGCAATGGTTTGGAGCTTATTAAGGAGGACCTAAGAAGGCAGGCAAGCGGCCTGGGCCATGGGGACT